GGTAATGACAAGCACTTTCTGTGCTCGGGTCAAGTGTTCCTGTGCCTGATTTTCCTTTCTGTGCTTGTGTCAAGCGTTTGTGTGCCTGACTTTTCTTTCTAAGACTAAGCATGTCTGTCTGTCCCTGCTTGGCTTCCTAGATCAGGTGCAGTCAGGTGCAGGGAAAGGCTGCAGAGTGTGTGCATTACCTTTCTTCTCAGCGAGTCCACAGCACGTTGCGTGGAGGCGCTGTGATTACACCTGCTCTAAGGCTTGCAGAGGATGGGTTAGTAGCCCAAGGTTGGGAGCTGTGGAACCCATCTCCCCCAGAGGTGATCACTGAAGACATGCATCGCAGGAATGTTCTGCTTCCTTTCTTCCTTCTCAGGGGCCTTGAATCCAGGGCCTCCCTGACCCTCTAATTCCCAATGCTCCCCCTCCCCTGTACCCAGCGGGGGTTGCTCACCAGTGTCGTTGGAGGTGGTGATGCCCGGGTCGCTGTGGGACCTTGGCAGCAGCAGCGGTGGCGGGGGAACCGGATGAGGAGGCCGGTGCCCCGGTGGGGTGAGAGAACCTGAGCTATCGCTGAAGCGTCGAGTGGGGGCTCGGGTGGGAGGGGTGGCCCCAGGGTGGCTGCCTCCCCGGGGTACCCGCCGCCTCAGCTCGGGGAAGCAGGGCCCCACCCAGGGCGGCCAGCCCTCCAGCCGGTGGCAGCTGCGCGCAGCTGTGGGGGCACCCAGCGGGGGCGGGGCCTCAGGGGCAGAGCAGGAATAGGAGCGGGCCGCCCGCGGGGGGCGTCGAGGCAAGGGGCTGTCCTCGAAGGGGCCTCGCAGGCCGCAGTCCAGGCTGAGGCAGTAGCCGGCGCGGCTGCGCTGGATAGAGCGGAAGAGCACGTAATCAACGGAGCGCACGGAACCCTGCAGCTCCAGCAGGCACGAGTCCTCGGACGGGCTGGAGCCCCCGGGGAGGTCACCGATGGCCGACAGCACCAGAGACCCGCTGTCCATGGACACTGTGGGCGGCAGGGGGCGCTGAATATCAACAGCCCATGGCCCAGCCAGGCAACTCCTCTTTTCCCAAACCCTAGCCTCTCCCCGGGCCACTTGCCTCCAGTGTTATCATGGGGGAAACAAAACCCAGATCCAGGGTTCAAGAAGCCACAGCCCTCATCCGTCCCCTACATTACCAGCTTGGCCTTGCTTTCCCCTCCTTTCACTCCCACCCAATCCTGTCGTCCCTGGAAGTCCGGGCCTTGTCCCTTCCTTCTCATTTGCTACTTACCATCTACAATGGAGGCCACTCTCTCACAGATACAGGAGCCATCATGTAGCTGGGGATCAAACAGAGTGGCCTGCAAAAGACACAGGGCAAAGGTCCAGCCCTTCACACTGTCATGGCCATCCCAGGTGCTAGAAACAGCTCTGGAGACCTAGATTCCAGACCAGCTGGGTCACTGCATGCATCACTTAACTTAAAGGGGCCTCGGTTTCCACATCTGTAAGATAGAAATGATACTTCCTCTCCTACCCACTTCACCAGGCCAAAGGGGAAAAAAAAAATCAAAGATGACAGTGTTTGCACTAGTACTCTAGAGACCATGGGACTATTATCTTTATCCAGCAACTACAGCTTGCTTAGCTTTCCAGACTCTACCCCATGCTGCCCAGCCACACCAAGCCCTGTTCTCACCTGGCTGTCTCCTCGTAGCCCCATAACAGCCTCATAAGAAGGGGGGCAATCAGTAGGGTACAAGGGCACGGGGCTGTCCATGGAGCCATTGTATGTGATGCTGGTAAGGATGAGGGAGAAGATCAAATCCTGGAAAATAGCTCCTACTTCACAAAGATCCTTTCCCCTAACCTAGGCCCAGCCCCAGTCCCCTTCCCCAGTTCCTTACCCAGCCTCACCTCTGTGCATCAGTTTCTGAGCTGCAGGTATACTCTGGGGGGTAGTAAGGTGGTGGGGGCACAGGCGGTACAAATTCCTCCAAGTCCAACATGGTGTGTAGGAGGGGGGCTGGAGGCGATGATGTACAGGCCAGAGAACCCAGGGGGCCTGAAACTGAGTGCTCAGGGGCCAGCTGCTGGGGGAGGGGGAGACAAACAGGTCTATGAGATTGGTTTCTGGAAATATAGCTCCACCTTGGGTTCCAAACATCCAAGTTCAGGCTGTGGGGCCTGAACTCTGGGTCTGGGCACTGTCCTTCAGCTCTTCAGCTCAAGGCTAGCGCTCTACCACTTGAGCTACAGCATCACTCTGGCTTTTTCTGCTTATGTGGTACTGAGGAATTGAACCCAGGGCCTCATGCATGCAATGCAAGCACTCTACCACTGAGCCACCTTCTCAGCCCCCATCTACTTTAGTTTTACGGCCCTGACCACTTCATGTTACTATAGTTGTAACACCTCCTCTCCCATAACTAGTGCCTTAACATCCCCCCCCCCTACACCCCCGGACTCTGCGCCTTTACCCAGAAATTCCTCTTCTTTACAGCCTCACTGTGTCCAGAATTGCCACTTGTTTTCTGTCACCACAGGGCTGTCCATCCTTTACGCCACCTACATCTAGGACCTTCTTGATTCTACCCAGCCACACTCCCTCTAAAGCCCCCTCTCCTGGTCCTAGACTAGCATCACACACCTCAGCCCAGTTTGCCTTGCTCAGAATCCAAACCTGTAGCTACCACCTCTCCAGGCCCAGTCCCAACACACATCCCTGGTTCTTGCCATAGGGCTTGATCCTAGTTCCCCTCTCACCGTATGCACAAGGTCCAGGGAGAAGATTTGAACACAGCATACAATAGCAGAGAGGGTACAAATTATGGCAGCACAAACTGTGAGCCCACAGACACTGAAAAGCAGGTTCTGGGGAAGGGAAAAAAGTAGAGGAGTGAACGCAGGTAAATCCCACCATACCCTGCTATGGGAAGGAATCGGGCAGGCATGCTCACCTTGAGGGCCCCTCGGGCTTCATCACAGGTGGAGTTAAGGGCAACTTTCAGTTCCTGTCCTGACTCTGGACAGGGCCGGAGTAGGGGAACAGGGGGACAGCACACACAGACATTCCCGTCCTGAGTAGGAATAGGGAAAGTGAGGCAGCCAGGGTCATGACCAACTCAAATGTCCTGCATGCTTCCCCAAACCAGCCTCAAATCTCACCATGGAGCAATCTCGAAAGTCCCGGGCCAGCTGAGCATTCTTACAGGAGAGAACAGAGCCAGCCATGCTGAGCATGACACAGAGCACCGAAAGCAAGGAGAAGAAAGAGATCTGGGGAAAAGAGGGTGCTAATTTAGGGCATGAACTTTCTGAGTACCCCTCTACCACAGATGGAGCCACCCTTTTTCATACACGCTTTGTGCCTGTCTGGCACCATCTGGAGAGCCAATTCCCTTCCTGAAGACATAAGTGGGCATCCCCTCTGGTGCTGGGCACTTGCCTCCCAGTGGGCATTGGACCCCTGCACCTACCACTAGAGTGAATGGCCGCTTCCAGGTCACAATGCCAACCACCCCGGAGAACGCCAGCTGGGGACAGAGTGGGCACAGGCTTAGCCTAGCAGGGGAGGCACCTGAGTGAGCCCCTCGCCACAGGATGCACCCATCCCTGCAAGGAGGGACAGGACCAGGAGAGGGAGGAGAGGGGAGGATATAGGCTTACGGCTGGCGAGGAGTGGGGCCTGAGGAGCCTCCCCCACCCCACTACTGTGCACCCTTTGAACCCAACTCACCGAGAACCCAGCCCAAGATGGGCAGGACCTCTTGATGCTCTCGGTGGTGGTGACAGAAGAGGCCACCATGCTGAAGGTTACCACCAGGATGCCCAGGAGGACCTGGGCCAGCCCCAGAGTGAGCAGGGCCTGCAGCCAGGGTCGGTGGAGGCGGAGGTGGGTAAGGCCCCGGGTGCTGGGCCGGCTGGTTAGCGAGCGGCTGGAGTCACTAGGCGAGGGCATCATGCCTGCCACTGGGCTGCCTGCACCTCTCCCGGGCCCCCCTGGCGCTTGGGAGCATCTCAGAGGCGCCCAAGGCCCCGTCCTTTCTCCTCTCCACTCCCCTCGCTCTAGAGCCCACCCCCTGGCTGGGTCCTCTGGGGCATCGCCCAGGGACGCCAGCTGTGGGGGGGGCCAAGGGAGGGGCGTCACGGAGGGACCGCGGGGTGCTCCCTCCCCACCACGGGCACCGGACGGGCACCTTGCCCAGGGTGGCGATGAGGACGCGGGGACACTGGTTCATCGCATCTCCTTAGGGAAGAGGGGCGCCGAGAAGGGCCGGTGCCAGAGTGAGAAGAGGGCGGCGGTCGGAGCCCAAAGAAGGGTGGGATGGGTAAAGGCGAGAGGGATGGAAAGAAGTCTAGAGAAGAGGGGAGGAGTCGGTAGGGGTGACTCTAGAGGCGCGGTCGGTGTGCCTTCAGGGTGTCCAGTGGGATCCGGGGTGCCTGGTGGGGAGAGGCCGCGGCGCCGCGGCCTCCCGGATCGCCCGCCCCGCTCCCCTCCCCACCATGCTCCGCTCCCCCAGCTCGGGCTGCAGCGGGTCGGGCCGTGGAGGCGGGGGGTGGGGACGGAGATGAAGCGAAGAGGGGCGTGGCCGCGTGGTGCACCCTGGAAGCTGTAGTTCCACGCAGGCCAGAGGGAGGCGGGGTGTTAGGGCGAGGCGATCCCGAAGCAGGGGCTTGGCCGGAAGCTTGCCCGGACCCCCTGCCCAGTTGTTAATGATTATTCCATACCCACTTGTGCCCTGTCCAGCCTCTCAGGCGCTGGCGCAGCGCTCCTGGCACAGGCAGCAGGCTCTTCCACATCATTAAGGGAGAGGAGTGGAGGGCTACACTTCCTGGTGTCTCTACATTTCCGCTCCCAACCAAAGACTTCCTGCTCCGGCTATCTGGTTCTGCCACCCTGTCCCCCACTGCTCACAGGTGACCCTCCAGCCAGGTCCCCCCTTTCCCCATTCTGCTTCCACTCCAGTCTTCCATATTTTTTTCTCTTTCATAATATTTTTAAGTCCTAGTAAAAAATTCAATAAGCCAGTGAGTTCAGTTACACTTCCTTTTTATTTAAATAACCGAAGCGACAGCCTTGGCACAGCAGAGGGAGGCTTTATTGGGGAGTGTGAGAAATGGCAGCAGTGTGACCTGACGGGAGAGGAAGGGTGAGCAGTCACTGGGTCAAGGTGGGCTCCCCACCGCCCCAAGTCAGGCTCAGGAGTCATGGCTGTACAATTGGGGGCACTATACAGAAACCATCAAGTAGTGATGTCTCTCCCCAAGTCCCAGAGACCTCAGGGATGGAGGCTATGTCAGGGCCTACATCAAGTGGCCGAGCCAGGGCATCCTGGTAAGGGGTCATGGAGTGCGGAAGGCATTTTCAGCAGCCCCAGCAGCTGCATTAGCAGCTGCAGTTCGAACTGCAGGGTTAGAGAAGACACCAGCAGCAAATTCTTGCTGGGCCTTCTGAAAGCTGGCACCGGTGCGGCGATACAAGGAGTGAATCTGCAAGAAGAGGGTAGAGATGTTACAGCATAGGCCAGACCCTGGCACCCTGCAACCACAAGACACCCACCACCATTCACCAGCCTGCTGCTCCCACTTTTTCTTCTGGGCTCTATCCAGTGTGCACACAACGCACATACACCCATGTACACACACACACACCCCAAAGGTCCATTAGCTGAGAACCCGCCCCTCAGCCTGGCCTGCCCCAGTTGTTCCTGATGTTCTACTCAGGCCCTAGGGACCCATGAGCTCACCCTTCTGGCCCCACCTTCCAGTCCCTCACCCGCTTCAGCATCACGATTCCCAGTACAGCGATGCCTGTGAATAGCAGGGCAACCAGCAGCATGAACACAGCTACAGCCATGTTGGCCTTCACCTCCACCACAGCAGAGACCCAGCCACTGTGGAGAAAGCATGTGCTGGTGAGGAGAGGCTCCTCACAGCAGGGCTGCCATCCTCACAGTTTCTCTGCTGAGTATGTGGCAAACATGCTATATTTCCTACCCCTCCCATCAGCGGTTACTCCCCTGCCAGTCTGGCAGCATTCCATGAACCACAATTCCCGCTACCACACTCTCTTCACAGTTTAGCTCCAGTTTTTGAACCATTAGCTCCTCACTCTCTTAAGGCCTGCTGGGCAGGCATCCTTACTCCACACAGACTCTTCTCTATAAGTCTGCTCTTCTTTCTTCAACTATGGTTATATAAACCTCCTCCAGGAAGCCTTCTCAGAGCCACCCTCCGCAGCCTTTCTCCCCTCAATCTCTGCCTATCTAGAGTTGTCTGGTCTGTATTCTAAGTATATTCTGTCTCTCATTAAACTAGCACATCCAAAAGGGCGGGGGGGGGGGTCTTTTTTGTGTTCTAGTACCAAGGCTGGAACTCAGGAACTTGTGCTTTTACTCTCCTTTCTTTGTTCTATCATTTGAGCCATACCTCCAGTCTGGCTTTTTTGTTGGCTAATTAGAGATAGAGGCTCATGCACAGACTTTACTGGCTGGGTCTCCTGAGTAGCTAGGATTATTGGTGAGCCACTGGCATCTGGCACAAATTTCATCTTGCCAGTTAAGTCCTACCCAATACCTGTGCCGGCTTTTCTAGAGGAGTGGAAGGAAAGAATGAGAGTAGATGACAGCCTCACAGACCTGAACCCCCAACCTGGGATGCCAATGGCCTGGAGGACAAAGAATACATCCTGGACGAAGAAAATGAAGAAGAAAACGAAGAAATTGAATGAACTGTCACTCCTGCAAAAAGAAAAAAAAAAATGGGGAGTGGGCAGGATTAGAGCTAGATCTGATGTGAGTTCCACCCCAGCCTCCCATCATCCATCCCTCACTTACCGGAAAGCCTTATACATGGGGCGGTACCAGCAGACAAAGGAGCAGGGAGTGAAAAGGAGAACCCAGAGCAGAGAAAGCCCAAAGCCTGAGCCATTGCTGGTCTCCACACAGAAACTGGCCAGGCAGGCGAGGAAGTTCAGGAGAAGAGCCAGAGTGCTGCCTAAAGATAAAGGAGAGAATGGTAGGCTGTTCTGGATTACAATAAAGGCTGTTTCACTCGCACAGACATCTCCAATGCTCACCAAAAGTGGCAGCATAAGAAAGGGAACACAAGACAAATAAATGTCATGTCTGATCCCCTTGAAAAGACTTTTAATGAGTTAAGAATGTGTTTAAGAGCTGGATGTGGTAACCTACACCTGTTAATTTCAGCACTTGGGAGGCTGAGGTTTAAGGATCATGAGAGAGTCTGAGGCCAGTACAGGCTACACAGTGAATTCCAGGCCAGGTGAGACAAAATACATACTTGTTAGCAGGCTGGTAAGTTCCAAATACAGTAGAAGGAGTAATCCAGGAAGATTCCTGGAGAAACTACCCGAATAATCAAATGTGAAAAAGTGAACTATCTGGCTCTCAGTGAGTGTGTTCTGGGGCATTTAAGAAATCTCTATCTATAAATTTTCTCCTAAAGGCCTCTTATCACTCACACATCCAGAGGTAGTACATGGTGGATACTGTCTTCTGAAATTCTTGGGGGATCTCCATGGAGATGTCCTGGAAAAAGCAGGGCTGAACTGGGCAAAAAGAAGGTAGAGGGGGCCAATTGTTCTGTCGACCTGTAAAGTACCAAGAGAGCAGGAAGACCTTAGGAAGGAGGTAATCACTCTCCCTTACTTCTATCACTATCCTTTCAATTCAAAGTCCAAGGAGACAAAGAGTGGAAAAAATAATAGTAATAGCAAATGTCCATTATGATTTGCAAAACCTAAGCAAGAACTCTCAGTATATGACTTTGCTTAAACCTTCACAATAATCATGTCAGATATGATTATTCCTTTTTTTTTTTCTCCTGGTTGGTCATGAGACTTGAACTCAGGCCTGGGCACTGTCCCTCAGCTCTTTAGCTCAGGGCAAGTGCTCTACCATTGAGCCACATGGCTACTTCTGATTTTCTGGTGGTTAACTGGAGATAAAGAGTCTCATGGGGGGCTAGGAAGGTGGCTCAGTGGTAGAGCGCTAGCCTTGAGCT